AGGCACAGTAAGAGATTAACAACAATAATTAAAATAGAACGATGACAACATACTGTAATAAAAGTTGTGTGAATGTGATCTCTCTCAAAATATTGTACTAATTTAATGCCTTTTCCATCTTAACACTAATCACACATTGTGGCCGTACTTTTTGCAGTTTGAGGTCGAACAGCAAAAAAGGAATTTCTTTTTCCTTCTTCACAGTTTTATGGATAGAAGATTTTCTTACCAGAGGTCTTAGCAACCACAGCTAGAATTTTTTTTTCTTTCCTTAACTCGGGAACTTTCACCTTTTTACTTAAAGGAAGTGCTTTACAGCTTCTCCTTGGCATCTCCAAATTACAAGCATCCCTACTCTTGCGTTTTGGGGCTATTATTAAGTAAAATAAGGGTTACTTGAGCACAAGCACTGCGATACTGTGACAATAACCCAATAACCAATACAGCTAGTAAGTGGCTACCAGGCAGGATACACTGAACAAAGTGATGATTCATATCCCAGGTGGGTCAGAGTGAGATTTCATCACGCTAACTCGAAAAGGTGTGCAATTTAGAACCTATGAATTATTTATTTCCGGAATTTTTCATGTAGTATTTTCGGACTGAAGTTGACCACAGGTGAAAAGTGGAACTGCAGGTGAGGGGGGCTACTGTATTTGAGCCAAGGCCAGCTGTCTGAGGAGTTCCATATCTACCAAAAATGAGCCTGCCTCAGAATCCCTGCAGTGATAGGTCATCGGCTGGGATACATGTAGGAAGTGTGGCCATGGTGCTTTACAGCAGCTGGGCCCTCAGTCAGTGAAACCCCCTTTAGATGGAGGTCTGTGAAACGCATTCTCGTGGCCACAACACCTTGCTTTCAGTAGTTTTGACTATTGATTTATTTCTGGTTTACTCAACTCACAAGGCAGAATTTTCAGGAGTGTTAACAGAAACCTTAGTTTTAGTTGGGTTTTTGTTTTTGTTTTCGTTTTTTTTTAGTTGTTTTTTTTTTAACCATTCCCTTCCTCCTCAGCAGTCCCTAAACTCTAAGGTTTGTCTCAGGGCTGTGAGACTTCTGATCTCTGCTTAATATTTTAGCCTTTTACCAGTTGCTTTTTTACTTGGTGTCTCGGCCTCTTGACTAAAGCATGGGGAGCTTAGAAATCAGTGAATACATTGAGGGAAAATTGCACTCAGAACATTGGGTTCACTTCTCTGTAATTCACTTTCCTTCAAGGTATTGGTTTCTCTGGTCCTAGCTGCTTTGGTAGCCCTAAGTACCAGCTTTTATCTCCTCAGGTCAGTGAGACTGTTGCCAGCTCCACAGCGCTTTCTGTTTGACCTCTCTTCCAATGTTAGTTTACCAGCAGATACCCTGATGGAAGAAGGTAGTAGTAAAAACAAACACATCTTAACGCCTTCCCAGTTACCTAGGAGCCAGGCCCTTTAAGTTTTGGCTACCTTGGTTGCTCTCTGATGCCACCATTTATTGTTTGTATTTTATCAAGCTTTTTGAGTTATTCTAGGTGGCAAATTTAGTCTGATACCAGCAATTCAGTCACGGAGGAGTCATAGAATACTTAGTTTAAAAAAATATAAATTATTACCCTTGGAGACCCACTTCCCCCTTAGCTCTTAACATTCAAATCCATCCAGACCAAAGCAAATTAACATTTTCTTCCTGAAGAGAAAATACATTCTCTACAATATTTTTCTCACCATGTCCCTGCTATACTGTGCTTCTTTTATCTTAAAATAAGATAGACTTTGGCAGTTTTTAAATATGGTTGTTCACATTTCTGTGTATGTTGCAAGGCATCCAGTGATATTTTAAACCATTAATAAGCTGTATGTCTGTATGTTGGAAGGAGGCTGGGGGAAGGGCTGTGGAGGTGGATTGTTTCTTAACTACTGTCTTCCTGGGAAAACCTGTTGGTAAAATAATATTTTCATTGAAACTGTGATTTCCATTACACTGAATCTACTGTTTCTCTGATTTCTTAAATGAAAAATGACATGTTTTGTATTAGTAGCAAATACATTAAAAAAATGGAAGCATCAAAGAGATAGGGCATACTTGAAATCTTTCTGAATATAAAGGAAACTATTCTAAGTATACAGTTAACATGTTACACTTCTGAAAATCTGAGCTCTAGAGCAGTTTTCAGAGTTAAAATTTATTTGCTGTGAATCTGTTTCATGTACTTAATAATTGCTCAAGTTCTGTACTTTATAAATATGCTTTTTAAAGCTTTTCTTTTATGGAAATGATTGATTTTTACTTCTATGTACTCACTGATAGATTAATATTTTATTGCTGTGTAATTGCTATCTTTTCGTATCTTCAATAGGAAGGAGTATCTGTTAAACACTGTTTTTCAGTATAACAATGAGAATTAAATTATTTAATATATGTCAAAATTTCTTTTAAAACTGTGAATTAATAACAGTAATAATTATCATTTATAGTAAGTTTTTAATCCTCACAGCAATTCTATAAAGTCAGAGTTTTAATAACCAGGTTAAGTTTACATGCATATAAATGGAAGCGTCAGGAGTCAAAGCCAGGTTGGAACATACACACAGCTGCTCCCGGTTATTCAATCAAACAGTAAATCTAGGTTCTTCTGTGAAGGCATTTTGCAGATGTGGTTAAAGGCATTGATCAGAGCGATCAGAGACATTAACTGAGAACAATCAACGTTATACCATGCGGGAGATGGCCGACATACTCAGAATATCCAGATCAAGTGCTGAAAATCATTTGCACCAGCTTGGTTATGTGAATCGCTTTGACGTTTGGGTTCCACATAGGTTAAGCAAAAAAAAAACCTTCTCGACCGTATTTCCGCACGTGATTCTCTACTGAAACGTAACAACAACGTTCTGTTTTTAAAACAAATTGTGATGGGCGAAGAAAAGTAGATACTGTACCGTAATGTGGAATGGAAGAGATCATGGGGCAAGCAAAATGAACCACCACCAACCCCACGAAAGGCCGATCTTCATGCAAAGAAGGTGATGTTGTGTATACTGTCAGATTGGAAGGGAGTCCTCTATTAAGAGCTCCTTCTGGAAAACCAAACGATTAATTCCAACAGGTACTGCTCCCAATTAGACCAACTGAAAGCGGCACTCGACGAAAAGAATCCAAAATGAGTCAACAGAAAACGCATACTCTTCCATCTTCCTGCGGTATTTACCAGACATTGCACCTTCAGCTTTCCATTTATTTCGGTCTTCACAAAATTCTCTTAATGGAAAAAATTTCAGTTCCCTGGAAGTCTGTAAAAGGCACCTGGGACAGTTCTTTGCTCAGCAAGATAAAAAGTTTTGGGAAGATGGAATTATGAAGTTGCCTGGAAAATGGCAGAAGGTAGTGGAACAAAAGGGTGAATACATTGTTCAATAAATTCTTGGTGAGAAAAAAAAAAAGATGCTAATCAGTTAATTGAACAAGAGATTATCCTGTGTCGGCCTGAATTGATTGGAAGATCTTTAAAATACGCTCAGGTCTTCTCTGAGTGGGACCTCCCACCTGTGGACAAGCTTGGGCTCCTTCCTCTGGATTCCAACTGGCTGGTGACCCTCCCTCTCTGCCTGCCCAACAGGCTTCCACAATTACATAAGCAAATAAACTTATATTTGCTTCTACATATAATCTCCTACTACTTCTGGTTCTGCTTCTCTGGTTGAACCTTGATTAATAATCTTTCCTTCACTGCAAATCTGTTACTTGAGTCTAAACGGTGGTCAAATTCAGAATGAAAATGTGGGGAGGGGAACAGGGAGTTTAAAAATAAGGTGGAGGGAGAGGAGAGCCAAGGGGAGAGTCTTTTTTCTTGTATATTTATGCCTAGATAGTGAACACATTTTTTAAAAGCATGATTTTCCTGTCATTCGAATAACTCATGTTCAACAACTTTTGCCATGTTTTCTAAAATTATATGATACTAAATAAATATAGCTAGTAGATATCAGTATTTATATGGTTAGGCTGTCCTCTTGCTCTCTGTTCATCCCCTGATCGACCAGGCCCTGCTTCACACACAGGACTATCCAATCCTCTTAATTTAAGGCTTCATTAGCCCCTGGTAACTGATGAGCTCACCTGACATCAATTCTCCCTATAAATGGTATCCTCCTCCTCCCCTGAGCAACTAAGATGGCTGCTACATCCTGCCCACTGTCTGCTGCACACCTGGAGTGTCGCTCTAGGTCCCTTTGTGTAAGATTCCTCTGTACAGTAAACTGTTGATGTCTCTGTCACTGTCTCCAAGCTCTTCCTTTGGTCTCCAGACTGGGCAACTACAAGACTTGCAGGCCTGCTGGGTGCAGCCCAACAGTATTGGATTAGTAACAGCAGGAGGTATGACATATCTACATTTTTCAGTGTAAACCCCTGGATTTGAATGCGGAAGTTTTGGAGCACAAGTTTTGTTGCTATTAGAGTTGTACTAGAGAATTCTCCACAGATTATTGTAAACGTACTTTTCTGCAGAGCATTCTCTTATAACCAGCTCAATAGTATCCACGCGAAACAGAATGTCTCTTTTAATTAATGAATACTGACATACAAAATAGCTAATAAAAATACTTTTAGGGACTGAATGTTTGTGTCCACCCCAAATCCATATGTTGAAGCCTTACCCCCCTGTGTGGCTGCATTTTGAGATGGGTCCTTTAAGGAGGTAAGTAAGGTCCAAGAGTGGAGCCTTAATCTAATAGGACTGATTTTCTTATGAAAAGAGGAATAGAGGGCTTCCCTGGTGGGCCAATGGTTGAGAGTCCACCTGCCGATGCAGGGGACGCAGGTTTGTTCTCCGGTCCGGGAGGATCCCACATGCCGCGGGGCGGCTGGGCCCGTGAGCCATGGCCGCTGAGCCTGCGTGTCCGGAGCCTGTGCTCCGCAACGGGAGAGGCCGCAGCAGTGAGAGGCCCGCGTACCGCAAAAAAAAAAAAAAAAAAAGAGGAATAGAGACCAGAGTTCTCTCTCTCTCTCTCTCTCCCCCCTCCAGTGCACAAAGAAGAGGTCATGTGACACACACAGTGAGATGGTGGCTAGCTGCGGGCCAAGAGAGGAGGACTGAGAATAAAACCTACCTTGCTGTCACCTTGATCTTGGACTTTCCAGCCTCCAGAACCGTGAGTAATATATTTCTGTTGTTTATATCAGCCAGTCTGCGGTATTTTGTTATGGCAGTCTGAGCAGATTAAGAAAAATACTAGACTCATAAAATTCTGCTTATATGAGAAATCTAAAACAAAAAATGATACAGATGAACTTACCTACAAAACAGAAATAGACCCACAGACATAGAAAACAAACTTATGGTTACCAAAGGGGAAAGTGGGGGGATACATTAGGAGTTTGGGATTAACATGTACACACTAATATATATATAAAACAGATAACCAACAAGGAGTATAGCACAGGGACCTATACTCTATATTTTGTAATAACTTATATGGGAAAAGAATCTGAAAAAAATAGATATATATGTATGTATAACTGAATCACTTTGCTGTACACCTGAAACTAGCACAACATACTAAGTCAACTATACTTCAATTAAACACAGAAAAATAGGGGACTTCCCTGGTGGTGCAGTGCATAAGACTCCATGCTCCCAGTGCAGGGGTCCCGGGTTCAATCCCTGGTCAGGGAACTAAATCCCACACGCATGCCGCAACTAAGAGTTTGCATGCCACAACTAAGGAGCCTGTAAGCCACAACTAAGGAGCCTGCCTGCTGCAACTAAGACCCAGTGCAACCAAATAAATAAATAAAACTCACCTTTGAATTAAAAAAAAAACAGAAAAATACTAGTCATAAAAGATAAGATTTTATTAAACATCATTTAAGTACATAAGATTTATTTATTATCTTAAAAACCATATACTACAAAAATTTTTCTTTCTGATTTTCCTAGGATCATAACTTTAAGCTGTATTAAATGCATGTAGAAAATGTAGTAAGCATAATAGATTTGGAAGAATAAACTAGTAGGTTTTGCAATCTACAGCAATCAATATAGGATCCATCTGTTTCTTTTGATCAGTAATCTGAGTAGTGAGGAACACAGAAGATTTTTTTTGCATTTCTGAGGTTGTTAGCTTTATTTTTGCTGTGTTTTTTTTTTTTTAAAGCAAGTATACATGATATGATCTGATCTTCTCACTAATAGAATGTGACAGTTGAAGAAAAAAGACCCAAATCATCTCTTTATTTGTAGGGACCATGGAAAGTCTAATCAAATTCCTATAGGATGGAGAATCACAAAACTTTAACTCACTTTTTAATATTCAAAATGGAAAAAAAAGTGACTTCTAGGGCTACATAGCAAAATTCAAATCAAAATTAATTATAACTTTGCAAAATAGTCTTCCTACTCCAACTTTTATCCTTTTTTATTTGAAAAATATCTCTAACTTCCCAAAGTGGTTAGGACAGCTTTCATGTCACACAATTATTTAGAAATTGTTATTAAGGTTTCATGCATGAACATGTAAATTATGGAAAAGCATAGTTGATTAAACAGAATAAACCTATGAGAATGATTTAAAACTTTTGTTTCAAAACAGTTGCTTATGTTTTTAATTGATATATAGTTGATATATGATATTAGTGTCAGGTGTACAACATAGTGATTCACATTTTTTATAGATTATATTCCATTTAAAGTTATTGTAAAATATTGGTTATATTCCCTGTGCTGTACAATATACCCTCATAGCTTACTTACTTTATACATCATAGTTTGTACCTCTTTATCCCCTACCTCTACCTTGCCCTTCTCTGCTTCCCTGTCCCCACTTGTAACGACTATTTTGTTCTCTGGATCTGTGAGTCTGTTTCTGCTTTGTTATATTCATTTGTTTTATTTTTTAGTTTCCATATATAAGCAATAATATACAGTATATGTCTTTCTCTGTCTGACTTATTTCACTAAACATAATACCCTCCAGGTCCATCCATGTTGTTGCAAATGGCAAAATTTCATTCTTTTTCACGGCTGAGTAGTAATCTTTTGTGTATGTATGTATAATGTATACCCCATCTTCTTTATCCATTCATCTGTTGATGGACCCCAGGTTGCTTCCATATCTTGGCTATTATAAATAATGCTGCTATGAACATTGGGGTGCATTTATCTTTTTGACTTAGTGTTTTTGTTTTCTTAGCATATATACCCAGCAGTAGAATTGCTGGATTATATGGTAGTTCTATTTTTAGTTTTTTGAGGAACCTTTATAGTGTTTTCCATAATTGTTGCACCAATTCATATTCCCGCCAACAGGGTACAAGTGTTCCCTTTTCTCCACATCCTAACCAACATTTGTTATTTGTGGTCTTTTTGGCGATAGATATTCTAACAGGTGTGAGTTGATAGCTCATTGTGGTTTTGATTAGCATTTCTCTGATTAGTGATGTTGAGCAGTTTTTCATGTGCCTGTTGGCCATCTGTATGTCTTCCTTGGAAGACTGTCTGTTCAGATCTTCTGCCTATTTCTTATTTTTTTAATATTGAGTTGTATGAGCTGTTTATATATTTTAGATATTAAACCCTTATTGGTCATATAATTTACAAATATTTTCCCCATTCAGTTGGCTGTCTTTTCATTTTGTTGATGGTTTCCTTTGCTGTGTAAAAGCTTTTAAGTTGAATTAGGTCCCATTTGTTTATATTTGGTTTTGTTTTCCTTGCCTTAGGGGACAGATCAAAAAAATATTGCTATGATTTATGTCAGAGTGTCCTGCCTATGTTTTCTTCTAGGAGTTTTATGGTTCTGGTCTCACATTTAGGTCTTTAATCCGTGTTGAGTTTATTTTCATATATGTTGTGAGGAAATGTTCTAATTTTATTCTTTTGCCTGTAGCAGTCCCGTTTTCTCAGCACCACTTATTGAAGAGACTGTCTTTTCCTCATTGTATATTCTTGCCTCCTTTTGTCATAGATTAGTTGACCATAAGTGCATGAGTTTATTTCTGCGCTGTCTATTCTGTTCCATTGATCTATGTGTCTGTTTTTGTGCCTGTACCATACTGTTTTGATTACTTTAGCTTTATAGTATAGTCTGAATTCAGGGAGTGTGATACGTCCAGCTGTGTTCTTCTTTCTCAAGATTGCTTTGGTAAAGTCTTTTTAAATGCCATGAAAGACTCTATTTTAAAAGGTATTTTCCATTTAAACAAAATCTGAGTTGGAAAAATTCATCAAAATATTTATGATAAATTCACTTTTTGGCTCATTAGCACTACCTTCAAAACATGTGCACACATACATTCAAGCTATTTGACTTTTTTTCTCTTTTTTTAGAAATAAGATTTTGTCAAGAGCCAATGATTTATTTTAAATTCTAAATTGTCCTCTCTGAGAGCCAGCCCTATTCTTAGGACAGCCCTCATAAACTGAGAGGGAAGTTTCTGTGCATCTTGACAGACTTCCCTGAGCCAGTGAATTTTAATATCCAAACATTGGATTTAGATGTGAAATTTAAAGTTATTGAAATTTGAATTCCCTAAACTCCCATCCTCAGTTAAAATTATATAATGCTTTGTTCTTTAAGAGGACTTGCCACCTTTATTGGTCCATTTTTTTTAGATTATATAAACTCAAAATGCAATTTTAAAATAGTTAAAAATTCTTCTAAGTGATTAATCACCATAGCTATAAGTTACAAAAGTAAAATTCTTACTAAATTTAAGAGTATAAACTTAGAGTGTAATCAAATAACAGACCAACTTAAAAATTTTCAATTAAAAGTTAAAAAATAAGTATCCAAAGTGATCTTGATAAATTATACTTTAAAGAAAATGATTATTTTTAACAGGGATTATAACGGTAATGTCTAGGTCATATATGCAATTAATTGCATAAGACAGATAACTACTAGTTATTTCACTGTTCTTTAGTGCACCAAAAATACAGCAATCTTTTAAAGAGCTTCAGGGGGGGAAGTTTCATTTTTTAGTGGACTGCATAAATTGAGGGAATTATATATCTAGGGAATCTTTGAGTCCCAACAGGGTAAAATATATCATTTTTATAGCCATAAAGTGTAAAGCCAGGGCTTCCCTGGTGACGCAGTGGTTGAGAGTCCGCCTGCCGATGCAGGGGACACGGGTTCGTGCCCCGGTCTGGGAAGATCCCACATGCCGCGGAGCGCCTGGGCCCGTGAGCCATGGCCGCTGAGCTTGCGCATCCGGAGCCTGTGCTCCGCAACGGGAGAGGCCACAGCAATGAGACGCCCGAGTACCGCAAAAAAAAAAAAAAAAAAAAAAAGTGTAAAGCCAGGTAAATTACCAAACTAAAGTTCTAGAGACAAAATGAAATAGTTTGCTTTATTTATAGCTTGTGAATAGGTTAAAACCCAAAATATTAGAATACTATAAGAATTCAAATAGGCAGATATATAGATTATTTATTAAAGAACGTATATCTCAAATATATATATAATATCTAAATCAAAAGTCTATTTATACATTACTGTTTCAATCCTTCAATTTTTTGTCAAAATATAGCTTTTAGAGGTCAAACACATGAATTTTGAAAATGAGCACATGTCAAAGATTTATTTAACACATTAATGAACAAACAAGAGGGGTGAAACTGTTTCCAAAAAAAGTTTAGAAGCAACAGAAGTATTTATAGTGACCGAATAAAAGAATGGTAGGAGAGGACCATGAAATCATATACAAAACTAAATAATGTCTTATGTGGCATTAGCAGTAAAATACTCTAACCAGTAGTAAGTAACAAATCCAAACAAAGGTCTAAAATCGGGTAATCCTTGGGTAGGCCTGTTAGACAATGCTTTGTTATGACAGTCTCTACTTGTGATCCTAAAATAAACTCCAGAGATTATTCTAGATTACGCATTCAATGTTTGGTTGGGTTTGGTTGAATTTTAAATAACTCTTATTCTTCTATTCTGAGGGTCAGAAAAGAAAAAAGGGAATTTATCTCCTTAGGGTTACACCTATAGTATCTATGTATATGTGTGAATTCTACTTTTTTTAAGGTTCTGGAAATCTGCTAAAGGGATCTGACCAGCAAGGAATTAATTGAGCTATTATACTGCCTGTGAGGCTGTGTTCTTGTAATCCACAGAAGGTACAAGACCAGTTTTCTGGAGCAC